TGCTGTTCTCTTGTTTGTCAGACTGTCAGACAAAAACAATGTCTGAAAAAAAGTGTAAAAGTGTGTGTGTGAGTGTTGACCGTGACTGTTGCTCTGTGTGTGTGTGTGTTGACGACAAAAGCCAAAGAAATCCTCACTTCAAAGTCGATGTGATTCACGCGTTTGTGCTTTAGTGGCAGTGGCAACAAGTAGACAGAACAAAATACTACAATGCAATGTCGACCATCACAGCAAAAATACTGACACCAGTTAAACACACTCACTCTCACACAGAGCGCCTTTTTGTTTTTTCGTTCTAAACAGTTTGAGGCTCTAATGCCGGCCAACTTAACGTAAATCAGCTTGTGGGTGATCGGTAATTATTCCTTTTAGTTTTTGCTATTTGTGATTTACATTTTGTTATTGTCAAACATTCACAGTTTAGCTGTGTTCTAAAGTATTGCACAGGTGTGCAATAAAAACAGTGTTTAGCAAAACACATTATTGTTTTTGCTTTTTCAGCAATGTACATATTTGGCACTGGTCATCATCATCATCAAAATCATCTCTCTCCCCTTCTTTTTCATGATCGGCCTACTTGGCTTTTAAGTGCTGATCTGACTTAAATCGCATAAAATTACCAAGTTCAGTCTAGTGTTTCTAGATCTGCTTTAAATGTTTTTCTCAATAAACCGGCAATTAAATCAGCAGCAACAGCTGCCGACGACAGGCATTGTCTTCACTGAAAGGCGGCGGTAAATTGACGGCGTGAAAATCGAACTGCTGATCATTGATCAGACAGGTTGAGATCAAAGACTGGCAAACTGTTGTCGCTAGCGGCAGGTTAGTTTGATTGGATTAGGATCAAAAAAGGGCAACACGGAAAAAAGAAAAGTGAGAAAAGGAGAAAGAGAGAGAGAGAGAGAGAGAGAGAGAGAACTACTGAAAGAGAATGTGAGTGAAAGTAACTGAAAGAGAAAATCGATACTTTGCTTCAATGTCTGCTGATCAAAGCTGATCAACAACAAAAAAAGGAAAAAAAGAAGGAAGCAAGAGCAAAAAGATTTTTGAGCTAAGCTAAACTGGCTAACCATGATCTCGGAAGCAGGGAAAACCATGGTGTGCTCGGCGGTGACATTTGTCTAGTGGCACTGCCGTCTGCTGCATACACACAAAGCAAACAAAACAGAGATACTTTTTGTTGAGAAGCTTTCTGAAAAAAAGACAGGCAGAAAGACAGAACAGTTCAAAGTTGGAAAGTCGAGAGTTTGTCTGTTGTGTGTGTGTGTTTGGCCATTTGATTTGAGCATAAAAGTGAAAGGACTGTGCAAATGACACTGAGACATTTTGCTGGCGCTTTTTGCTGTTTTTGTAGTCGCCTGTGATTTTTTGTCGCTTGTAAACAGTATTGCCTGAACAGATCAGTAGCTCACTGAATTGTAGCTCACAAAAAAATCCTTTTTCTTCTCTTCGACTCGAGTCGATGGCGGGCAAACATTGCTCAAATCAGTTACCACTCTGTTCAGATCAGCTCATTTGCCCGTGGCCACCTTTTTATGAGCACCTTTAAAAACACACCGCCGTAGTTTGATTGTCCTTTTTGACTCTGATCTACTTCTCTCTCTCTCTCTCTCTCTCTCTCTCCCTTGATTGACCTTATTTTGTGCCCCGCCACACCGCTCAATATATGAATCATTTTTTAATATCCACACACACATCGAGATTGAGATAGCTTTTATTACTGCAACAACTGCTGCTGCTGTTGATATTATATTCAGTGTGGTAATAAGAAAGAGAGAGAGAGAGAGAGAGAGAGAGAGAGAGAGAGAGAGA